CGGGCTGCGGGGGACGGGCGGCTGCCGGGGGGTGGCCCCTCCGCGCCGCCTCCTCGCCGCGATCCGGCCAAATTTGCCACCGGCCGGCCGGGATTTTACACTTCCCGGCTGCCGGCAGCCTTTATGGGTTGTTTTCTTTTTTTTTTTAAGAAGCTGCCTGTGGCTGGCTCCGCCCAGCAGGGACAAAAGGCGGCCTGGTGGGGGCAGCGGGGGATGCCTGCCTGCTGCCGCAGTCAGGAAGGTTGAGTTCTCCTGACCTTTCGCCAAAGGAGGGGAAGGGAGAAGGATGGAGGAGCTCCGGAGGCCTGGCCCCGGCCGCCTCCCCAGCCCCGGGCTGATGGACCTGGTCCGGGAGATGCCGCAGCTGCCGCCGGGCTGGCTCGGGGAGCGGGATTCGCCTTCGCACCGAGCTCCAGATGAAGAACCCGGGTCGTCGTGGGCAAAAAAACGTGCGGGGCGGGGGAAGGGCAGACGTGCCGTTTAAAGAGAGGGCTTACTTTATTTTGATCGCAGGGTTCGGGGCTCTGCCGGCAGTTTTGCTCTCTTCAGCTGTTGCAGTCTGCAGCAGGTATCAGACAGGAAACTGCTGAAAAAAAAAAAATCACCGTAATTCGGGGTCCTCGAGGAGATTAGAAAGCTGCAATTAGTTGCAATCAGCCAGCGATCGCGTCGAACCTGTAACTCAGATTTTTGGAGAGCTACTCGTTGATGTAAAGCGCTGACATTTTGAAGTGCTTAAAGGAGAGGGACCAAATCTGTAAAACAGGATCGTTTTCTCTTAACGGCTTAAGAGGCTTTTGTGAATTAGTTTACGCATGGTACCCCTGATGCTTGGTAACCCAATGCACCGCTTGTTAAAAGAGAACTCAAATCGTGACTTTACAACTGAGTTGCACCTGGTCTTAAATTGAGAAAAGCTGGTGCTATTCTGGAACCAGTATGTTAATCCATCAGCCCGTGCTGAGATCCTGTAACACTTTTAAGTTGTTCTGTAGATTTCTGTAGCAAGCTTATGTGAGAACACTTGCAGTATGTGTTTGTAGGAGAGGTATTCTCATGTCTCTCTTCTTCCTTTTCTATCTCTAGATGTGTAAAACAAAGACTCACTGAGGTCCTGTGAGCATTCCCTGCTGCCCATTGCTACTACCGGTTATACAAATAGGATTTACTGGTATGAACATGAAATCAGTACCCGGGGCCTGCAGACAGGATTTTACTGCAAGCTATATGAACACATACAAACACACGTTTCCTGTCCCAGACTGATGTGGCATATGATGAGAGTTGACATCTATTCAGCACATAAAATTTTAGTGCATCTCTTAATCTACTAACAATTAAAAGTGCATATTGTCATTCATTCTGCAGCTGCTTTTCAAGCCAACAGTTACTAATTTTTTAGAGACAACATTGCTGAAATACAGTTTGAGCGGTGGTCTCAGTCTGTGGCTCATGATGTAGCCGGGAAGCGCCCGCCACTATGGGTAGTTTGGCTGCAGAAGCAAGAATGTGATTTATCGTAGTTGAACTGTTTGTTCTCCATGAGCCAGCAAACATCCTAAGGAATTTGCAGGTGAAGAGAATGGTGACCTTACATACCTGGTGAGGTGGCATGCTCCATTGGAGAGAAATTCTCAGGTTTTCTAAAAAAAAAAAAAACACAAACCCCAGCACAGAAGCTGGCATCTTTCCCCAAATTTTAACTCACATGTTCATGAATCAAAACTTGACAATACGTTTCAGGTGTGGGACAAATCCTTGCACATGCAGAGTTGTGGATCTCCAGTTTTACAAGGGGGAAGCCGTTCGCCATACCCATGTGGTTCTAGCTTCAGAACTACTACTGAGGGTACAACAGAGACTTACTGTGACCATCCTGATGTGTGGCTGGACTCCCGCTTGTAGGAGAAAAGGGAGGAAAGAGCTGAAAAGATCCCTGCCATGGCACTGGGAAGAATGGGGGGTCCTCTTTGATTTCCTCATTACGAAGGAGTGAGGCTTCTGTGGAAAGGAAAGAGTCCTTGTCATTGGCAGTGAGGGCCCCCGGTTATCTTACGCAGGAGCACAGGTACTGGGAAGGCTTTAACATGTGGCAAGGGCAGGCAAGACAGACAATTAGAAACATTAGCCCAGCAGAGACTTAGGTGGGATTCATTTTACCTAACTTTAGCTATCTGAGATTATGCAAAACACACCTACCTTTCGAAGTTAGGTAAGGTAAATCCTGCCTTAAAGCTTGCCTGAGTGGAATAGGGTTGCAGTGAAAGGGCTCTGAAAGAAAAGAGTTATGTTTAGATTGACAGATGGGAAAAATGACCTTTAATAGGTCCCTTTTCCCTTTTAGCTTTGGTTAGAGCAAAAAGAGAAGAATACGGTTTCCAAAGAAAGCTCCTTGCCTTACACAGACAAGTGATAATTTACAGGCGTCTGCTTTCGGCACCGAAGCCAATACATGGTGCAAATGCTTTGTGTGAGAGGAGTCGACTCTTCTGTGGCCTTGTTCAAGTCTACAGCATCATCTCGGAAAAACGAAAAGCCGGCAAATTGACAACACCAACGATGTCGCTACAGACATTTGTATAATAAATGGATATGTGAAAAAGAGCTACAGCCTTAATTTTGTTTTTGACACTCTGCCTCAACACCACACATCCTCTCTGCAGCACACTCTATAGCAAGACAGCCCTGAGCACACACACGTCCTGCTCTCACACAGCCTGGTGTTCAATAAGAGCCAAACCACAAGAGTTGTGACTAACAGATGTGACCTTTTATTGGTTTGCTTTATAATGCACTTGATGATGGGATGAATCCACAACATACCGCCTTTGCTTTGGCTGTGTGATCCAACAGGTCTTCAGCATCACGCGCTTCCCAGAAATGAGTTCTAGGAAAAGACCCACAAGTGTGGTCTCTGAGGAGGCCAATGAGGAGAGTCATCATTTCTGAAGAGCATTCCTAATTCTGGCACTAATTTTCAGAGCTGAGGGTTGCAGCTGAACTAGGTGAAGAGGTCACCGTCCTTCAGTTTATTCTTATCCTATCCACCAAAGATCTCTTTCCCTTTCCCTCTGCTGGGAGAGCATGTATTCGCTCCAGCTGTCCAATGAAAAAGAGAGAGAGAGGGCACACAAGCAAGCGAGAAAAATTTGACTTCAACTAAAGTGGATGATGTTGACAGCAGAGGATTTGGCAGTAGCTACACTTGCAGTTACCTTGCAGATTCTAGCAAGGAGTGTGGGGCAGAGAGCTGGGGATAAGCTGGGAGCTGCAACCTCCTCTCCCAGCTCAGACAGTGAGGAAGACTAGTCTGGTAGTCCTCAGTGGCATTGTGCAAATTATTTAACAATGTGGTCCACCTTTCTTTTGGGGCTGTAGTGAGAAAATTCCATGTATTGATGATGCTATGAAGCTTAAACGACTCCTGCAAAGAGAACAAAAAAGTTTAATTTTTTCTTCAGTTGTCTTTCAGTGTTCATTTCTATGGTTTCAAGCTTGGGGAGGGGAGCGGAAGGGAGGGTAACACCTCCAAGCTGTGGGATTGAGGGTACATTATTCTATTAATTTTACAAGTCAAAGCTCTGGCACAAATGATATTCAGGAAACAAAATGTAATTCCACAGGGGAAAATGCAGCTATACTACATCTGGCGAAAAATAATTCAGGTCACAGCTATTCATTGGGAAGAAGGATTCTCAGAAGCTGTAACACTGAAAGAGACCTAAAATAGCAGGAGAGCAGACAGTAAATTAGACATGCCTGTAATTTGAGATGACAGGAGGGGGGAAAAAAAAAGAGAAACAAGAAAACAATGGGATAGTAGAGTTCATAAACAGAAACTGTAACAAAGGCCTCTGTTAGTGGTATTGTAGCATAAACCCCCTGGAATACTGCATTCAGTCCTGAACATCATCTCATCAAAAAGACATCAGCAAACATAAAGGAATTAATTTTTTAAAAAAGTAAAAGTGATGAGGATTGATTTAGAGACGCTGTCATAAGAGTTGAAAGAGCTAAGTACAGCTGTGCATGGCGTGCAGGACACAAAGCTATGAAAAGTAGGCAACGTGGGAGAACAACTATTTAGGTTTGCAGAAGTGAGAGCATTATTATTGTGAGGAAGGAGAAAGTAGGATGAAATGAGGCAAAAGGATGAGGATGAGTACTGTTACAATAGCTTGGCTGCAAGATCCACTGCCTGGTGGAACAGTTGCTCCAGGAGACTTCTTGCGGTATTTTAAGTAAGCACAATGCTAGTGTTTATCCCTTAGCCTACCAAGCACAGTGGGCTAGTTGATCTTTTACAAAGGAATTTTCCATCTCTAATTTCTGTGTTTCCAAAGCTTCCTCCTCTGTAGAGCACTGTTTGTCACGTCAGTGGCAAACCTCTGAGAAGACAAACAAACAGCCCACAGGGAGAGAAAATCTCAATGAAGAAAAGAACTAAAGCATGTTTGTGTGTGATAGTTTACAGTCACACCACAAATCATAGCCATGCAAAGGCAGTTGCAACCAGTCTTCCTTATATTGGCCTCTGCTAGAAACCATAAATCAAATTTCCAAAGGACACAAGCAAGCAGAACAGACCCTTCTTTCCATCCTCCTGCTTTAATTCTTCCCATCCCATTCCTGACTTGATTTGTCTCTCCAGCATCCTCATCTGCTCCATCTCCCTCTTGTCTTTCATCCCCAAGGTCAGTAAACCAAATGTTTAAATTCATTACTTGGAATCCTATACATCCATCCTAAACCCTCTCCAATCTAGTTTCTATACCTTAGGCATCAGAGTGGTACATCACATTTTCTAAATACCATGTTTCTGTCAATCCTCAGAGGAGTTCCCACCTTCTCTAGCG